AGAAGCAAACCGAAGCATTGCCTCTGATCCCTTCCCCCCTTGCTATTTTCCAGTTTGTCCAAGAGAAATGAACATATCTTGGCACTTGAGGCCACCGTTCACTTCGGAAAGAGATGACAGCAAAGATCAACCGACTGAGGGGATTTTCCATCGAGCTTTAGATTTCGCCTTAGGCAACTGCTGCGAATTTTACAGGGGAAACAAACCTATAATGCGTTACTTAGAAATGACCGATAATTCGACTTCGCTTCGCAGCCACATTTTTTCAAATGAAACGAGCTTGGTGTTTCCCGTGCAAGACGATTGGTTCATAGGTCGTATGCTCTACGTTAACATACTGGATTCTCCTGGAGTTGTTTTGATTCTAGGAGAAACCTCTTACTCAACAGAGAGAACTCAGCTGTTGAAAGCGATTTTTGAAACATGGCCTATCGTAATTTTAAGCCTTTTGTTGTCGTCTGTTGCTGGAATCTTTGTATGGATATGGGTAAGTAACGCTTTCACTGAGTAAACTTCAAATGATTCTTTCATTAAACGCAACACCAATAGACTTAAAGACCTTAAAAAGGGCTTTTTAAGTATCGCTAGTTTCATAAACAGTTTAAGAGATGTATTCAGCTTTTATCTTAAACAACATTCGATCTCAGTGAAGAGGCAACGACTCAAGTCACTTCCACGATAATTCGGATTGCTCAAGATGGTGTTGGTAGGATAGATTTATGAATGTCGAGGATCAACAAGAAATAGAAAATTATTAAATTACTTTGTTTATGTCGTATCTAATAGTAAACTTTATCTACAGAACATTCTTTACCAGCTTGTCCTCTCATATGCGAGTATTATTCGGTGTGGTCCTTTTTCTCACCCAAAAAACCCTCAAGCACTTCAAGTTGAAAAATATTTTCACTAACTTACATCCAGCAGATTTAGTGATACCTTTTTTAATTTAAGATAACATTTTTTATTATGTTCGTGATCATTTTGCATTAGAATCCCAAACTAGGATACCTTTGCGATTTGAATCATCAATGGATCTGGAGGATAACTATCATATTTTTCATTTAGTTCTTTATCAGTGTGGGGTCTTAAACTGAGATAAAAAATCGATTTGACTCGATTGAAAGTCGGCTCCAACTTTGCAAACGCCAAGTAATCATTTTCATGGCTCAGAGCCTAGTGTCAAAGTAAATGTAGAATTAATATATCAATCTGACCAACTGCCTTCTGTCAACACCATACTTCTTCGGGTGCACATCCACACTTGCGGATAAGGAACGGCGGGTGGACTGAAGATGGAGTTACAAATGCGTAGAAAATCTCGGATGCAGTCGAATTTTAAGAGAAAAAAAAATACAGGTTTTCTGAATTTGAAAAAAAGAAATGGATAAAATTAAAACTATACGCTGTAAAGGATCTGCTCTCCGCCATACACACCATTCTCTTTTGACTACAGATTGAAATTTTCTCCTTCCGATTCAAGGAAACCAGAGCAAACAAAGATGACTTTGGTCGTCCTTTCTACCATGGAGCTATTGATGGATTCTGGTGGGCCTTTGTTACCATGTCAACAGTCGGGTGAGTCATTTTATGCAGTTCAAAAGCAAAGGCTTTCTGAAGAGTAAATCCCAGAAATCCATTTGGTGTCCGGCAAAAACAACGCCGGAAAAGAGACGTTTGTGTACACGCGTATGACTGCCCTTACAGTTTTCGCAACTTCAAAGTTTTGGTCTCTAATGATTAAAGAGGGTCTATTATAGTCTGGCGGTTTGGCGGTTTAAGCCAAGTTTGAGTGCTGGTTTGCGGTTTCATTCACATTTATCTGGCGGTAGTTTGGAAAACGAGGAATGCCGGAATTCCGTGTCGGAAAACCCGGAATACTTGGAATTCCAGGAATGACCAAAAAATGACAAATTGAAAAAAAAAATTACCTAATAATTAAAAATAATAAGTTTGAATAAATAATTAAAAAAGAATTAATTGAAAGAGTAAAAATAAAGTGAAAATAAAAATTAAAAAGAAAAAAAAAGAAAATCAGTTCTCTATAAGTAAAACCAAAAAAATGCAAAATTTTCTCTCGATCAGTCATAAAATGCAGAGACCACGTGACGTAAAAAATAACTACCTATGGCACTGTTCACAGAGATGCACATACTAGAACTACATGTAGCTTACAGCCTACAATATACAAACTGATGCG